CTACTTACATACATTTTCATGAAACTTTGTTAAAAGCCTTATTGCCTTTTCGATCGCATCATACACAACGATTATTTTTTCACTATTTCTTCAGTTATTTTTTGTATTCTAATATACTTACATGAACAATTCCATATTTTATTTTAGTTAATAATATAATGTGTATATACATACGGATGCACATCCCTGAAATTGATGCTGGCGGCGGTCATGCCTTCAAGGTTTGCTATTGCCGGACGAGCGACAGCTATTAGAATTTTTTTGTTTGTTGTTGCTTTGACCAGTACATAATTGAAACTTGGTCCTATCGCAAGTAGAAGTTCGCAAGAGTGATTAGAACTCGGCTGGCTATGTCGGCCGCCATCTCCGTTATTTATTTAAAAAATAGTTGTTTTCATATTAATTAATTTAATAGCGCCGTTATGAATGCCTAAAATATTTAAAATTTATTTTCTGTTTAGAAAACTAGTACGAAAATTTTGTCTACAAAAATTCAATAGACAGCAATAAATAAATTATCGGTATTCCTTTCTCAAAGTAAAAAACTTAAATTTTACTAAAATTTTTTGCACTTTATTATAAATTACATACACGGCACGGTCTCTAATTTAAAATTATAACCAAAACACAGTATTTACTAAAAGACCATTCATATATTTGATTTTGGTTATTCCATAAAAAATACAGTACAGAATGGAATCGATAGGACAAAATTATCGCTAGAAATTTAGGTAATTTTGTTTAAGACTAGTTTTACAAAATAAACTAAGCAATTGTATACAAATAATAATTTTGTTAATAAGTAAATACATTCAAACTAAAATTACATATTTACTTATAGCAAGTTTTGGATAAAGTGTAGCTTTCTTACATTTTAATGAATATTTAATAAAGATACATTTTTCGTAAGGCAAACATTCAAACAACTAATAATATCTCATTCAACTTCACATATCTAATATTTTTTATTGAGCACAACAGAATGACACTCCATGCATTTGATTGCTATTTTTTTTGCATGCATTAAATTTTCAACACTCGGATCAATTTAATTTTGAATAGAAGTTCGACAAAATTAAAATTTATGTATTTATGTTTCTAGCTCCTTCAATGTTTACATATATAACTAATATAACGCTGGTAGTTCACATACAAACATAACTATTTACTAGAATAATTATTCTATAAATATTTTGGTATAAGTACGTACATATGTACATACATATGTACATAGATAACAAAAAAAAAACAACTATACACAATGGCTAAGGCTAAAGGCAGATCGCAAAAATTTACCCATTTTGTGATTGTCACAAACTATCTGCAAATGTTTGCAACATTTCCGCATTTAGGGCGAAAATATGTAAAAGTGTGTGCGTACGTTTTTATGTGTGCTTCTAGGGTGTTGGTAAAAATTTAATTTTTTGGCTTTTGGTTATTAGGCAAGGGACATTAAAAGGTTTTTTTTTCAAAGCTTCGCTTGCAGCTCTTATTTTTGATTGCCGAAAAAAATGCCAATATTTTTTGGATGAAAATTAAAAAAAAAAATAAAAGTCTGATTTCAACACTTCTCATTTCGGGTTTGAATATTTACAAGGTTTGCGTAACAAAATTATCATGTAAACTAGTAACATGCGCATAAATAAATTTTCATATAAATATTTTACTGTTTTACGAGGCTATATAAGCAGTCAAATTAACAACCTTAACAATTTTGAATCAAAAAAAAATTTTGCGCACTTAAAGGTAGGCAATACCTCAGGCACCCTTTGAATGAGTAACTTCTCTATGCGCAACTTCCTTTTTCCAAATTTAGATACCTATTTATTTTCGGCAATCCAAGAGTCAGCACATCTTACAATTCGACATAAGATCGGTTTGATATTTTATGCTAGTTAGGCTATTTTGTAGATTCACTTTTTGCGCCATTTTCGCACTAGTTCTACGGAAATTGCTTGTGTGTAATACTAAATTATAAATACGAATTATAACATAACAAATTGCAATTAATTGTACAATTATTATATTCGAGGGTAGCTGTGCTACCAAGAAAAAAATAGAAATAAAAATTCAAATTCAAATTCAAATAAAGAGAACCACAATAACCACTTTTTGTTTAAACTAAACGAAACTGTCATTAAAACTGCATGGCTATGGTTCGAAAGGATCGAAATCAAATTCAATGCATACCGACTGTAAAGTGAAATGTACATATCGTACATCTAGATCTAAAGTGAGCTAACTCAAAAATCGGATCCGGAAATATAACTTCTTGTGGATCGTACAGATTCAACGCAATTTATGTAAAAATAGATAAAACAGTAGTTTTTGAGTTGGTGTATATAATCACGAAGAAAAAACTATTTGCATTAACTGGAGATGAGTCCTATGAATTGATTTATGTAAAAAAAAATTGCTATATTTTTTTTTAGCTGGACGCTGTTTAGAGCTTTTTCCTTGAGCACGATAGTTTAAATTCAAAGGAAAACAACATACAACGGCATGGTTTTTAAGCCAACTTTTACTTTTATGGAGTGTACATACATTCATAGTCGAATCACGTACTTACATATTTATGTATCTGTATCTCGAGTTTGAGTCGAATTGAGTCGAGTGAAGTCATAATGTTGATACATACTCAGGGCCATTCCATACAAGCATGAAACTTATTTGAATGTGGCAATAAGAATATAAAGCAACACAATGACGGCTAACATTTAATTTTGACTTGAGCTTGGTTAAGTGTTCAAATTTTGTTGAGCTTACATTGATAAACTGAAATTTAGCACACTCTTCAAAGCATCTCCATCTGCATGTGGTATGAGAGTACAGCTTTAATATCACTTCAGTCGCAAGGAGCTATGCATTATTTATTTACAAACAGTTTTTTTTTTTCTTTTCGCTGTTTTATTAATTTTCCGGTGCATTTAGTGGGAATGAACTTTCTTTGAAAACCTAAAAACAAAACAAAAAACAACTTTGTGCATAATTCCTGGTGCAAAATTTCAAGTCTAAGGCGGGTGAAAAAAGATTCGATTCTTTTGAAATCGCATATTTTCACCTTATATGTACGTACGTATTTGCATACATAAATATTTTCCACACTTCTTCTTCTACAAAACAAATGAACAAACACATTAATATCTCTGCTACTTATGGCCAATAAGCAGTTGCATGCAACAATAGACTACTTTAAGGTACTAATATATGCTGCACGTAAATATTTTTTACAAATAATTGTATAAACATACATACATATATACCCTAGGTAATTTATTTACAATTGTGCAACTTCATATTTGTCTTCATCCATTTGGCTTCGATTTATTTAATTCAGTTTTTCCTTCAACGCCAATAATCCAATTGCATCTATCGTTTCCATGGTGTTGTTGTTCATTTCTACAATTTTCTTCGTTGCTAACGCGCAGTTACCATTTTGCTTTGGCACCACGCCATTCACACCATTCACACCATTCACCATAGCGGCATTGTTCAGCTTTAGACTTTGTGATTTCTTATAGCTGGCCATGTAGAAGTTCATGAAGAGGCAGAAGAAAATTGAAGCATTGAGTAACAGCAGGCAGGATATGAATTTCGAGAATTGGCATTGGGAGCTGACGAGAGCGCGGGTGGTGTGCACAATGCAGAGCACGAATTGAGCCTGAAATGGAAAGAAATAAAGAATAAGAAATAACGTAAGAAATTACTTGTCAAAAATTATGTAGGTACGAAAAAATATTGCGAATTATGTAACAACCTAATAAACGGTTGCCTCTCATTTGTATGTACTATGTACATAAGATACTTATCATAACCAAGGCTTGAAAATTTTATTTTGTACACATATATCTGGCAATGTTGTTTTTTGGTTGGTTTTTGCATACATGTATTCGACTTAGGTGCTCAGTTTTGTATATTTGACAACATTTCATACATTTTCGGGAAAAAGAGACGATAGAAATTCGTGAAACAAGGCGAATTCATACATGTGTTTTTATACTCCTGCTACCGCCCTGTGTGAATTCGTGTTGATACAATGCAAGTATACATACAAACATACTGCTAGAGCTTGAAGAAACGCGAACAAATTTGGCGTTCATTAAGGCAAATTTTGATTATTTGATAGTAAGTATGCCGAAGCTTAAAACAAAAAGTTTGACTTCGAAAGAAGTTTCGGAAATTGTGACAATAGTAAAATGTTGAACAAAATATATGTATATTTATTGAAAAAAAAAAACCTTGAAAGTATTTTGGCCAAGAACCCTTCCTTTACCAAAATTGCTAATATAAAAGATATATTACTTCCGGGCGCCACAACTAGGGAAGAATATCTATCGAAGTACTGCCTAGCAGAATTAAGTTAATTTAAACTAGGGACGGTTATCATCATAAAAAAAAATAATAGTTCAAAACAGAATTTAGTCATTATTTTATGATTTTTACTTTTTCGGTCAACGGAAGTACATAATTATTATTTGATTGTTAATTTTTTTTATCTCAAATAATGATTATATTAAATATTATTGAATTTTATTTTTTATAAAATTTGAAAGGTCATACCACCAGCTGAAATTTTGACCTGAGAGTGTCGCCAGCTTTTGAGGTTTTTGAATAATCGTTATTCTTATGTGAAAAAATAAAACAGAATATTAATTATTTTCTTTGATTAAAAAAATTCAAATCAAATATTTATTATTATTTTTAATTTTAATTAACTAATTTATTTATTTATTCGTCTACAGAAAGGTCTAATTTAAATTTATACACGTTTTGGTTGGAATTTAGCTCTAAGTGTAAGGTTATTCCATGAACGAATATATCTTGCAAGAGGCTTGTAATAATGGTAATTTGCTTTATGTACTAGATAATATGGAAAAGGGCGAACGCGCGCCGTAACTCGCAAATAGGAGCGTAACGATATATCAGCCCAGTTTATTCTTGGATTGACCACATTATATACAAATGAAATCGAAAAATATATTCTTTTTTTTTGTCAATGTTATTGTGGCTTATTAACAAAAATAAGTCTGATAAGGAGATGTGGCGATCTCCAAAATAGCTGCTATAACTTCTACCGCCTAGACTTTGCTGCTTTTTCAATTTTTCCTAATAAACAATCGTGGTACAAAGCTCAATAAAAATATTAAAAATAGATTATTCTTTCGTATAGGTTTTGCAGACCAAGCAGTTTACGTCATACCACGTAGTTAGGTAAACCATAAGGCCATTGTAATCTACATAATGCAAACCTTATTAAAACTTGTTGCGCCTTTTCGATCTTATTCTGGTGGCTTTATAAAACGAGTTCCAAATTATGCAACAATAATTAAGTGTCACTAGATCGGGGAAATCTTTAGTATTACTGCGTATGAAGCCGGTCATTGAGAATGCTTTTGTTGCTATTAAGTCGTCATATGGTGTTAATATAAATTTTGAATCAAAGATTATACCCAGATCCTTATTCGTATCGTTTTGGTACAATTTGGTTATTGGTTAAGTTCGAAAAATAAAATTTATTGCAGGCTACCGTAGGACGTACGAATTCAAATATGTGAGAATAGTTAAGATTGTTTTACGACACTTAAAATATGTTTATTTTTGTTTGGTTAAAATTTAAAAAATTATAATTTTTTCCGTCCCTGATTTAAACTTTGTCCAACTACATCTACGGATGTGGATAGGAGTTTTTCGAATCATTCAACAATTTCGGTCTTATATGTTCATACATACGTAGTATTACATTTGGCAAATACGAAACATTGAGCGTTAAGCGATGGCATCGCTTTCATATTTGGAATGAGCGTTAACTATGGTAATCGTAGGTAATCGCGTGCGTCATCTGCCTTTGTTATTGCTGGGAAAAATTATTATTTCATACTTAATAGCATATTCTAAAAAGATTATTTAATATAAACTTTGTCAATGTGTCTCCACGTGAATACTACAAAAAATATAATTTTTTGTACAAAAAAAAATAATTAATTATAAAAATAAATATTGCACTCAAATTCTATTTGCGTGACAGAGTAAACGCTTTTCTAATTGTATGAAATGTGTTTTTTAAACTGAAGTTTAAGCAACTCACATATTCTCACAATTATCATCGAAAGGAGTCATTATTTAGTAAAATTCGAAGGCTAGCATGTCATTTAACGACTGTGGGATATGGAGTGAAATCAAAAGCTGGAAAATTCCCCATAAATTAGTATAAACTAACATTATGGTGAACAATTTGATTTGTGTGAATCAATTTAAACACTTGTGTGTTTTGAAACTAAAATAATAGTTTGTCATTTTTCATACACAAATATTGTTATATGTACGAGTGTGTCATATTATTGCCGACTGTTAATCGATATATATACAGAAATTTTAAAAACTTTACTGTTTCAACAGTTAATATATTGGTAGTTTTTTATGTTTTAATTATGCTTGCTTCTCAGCCTTATACTCGCCAAGTTCGTTGCTCAAGTCTTTTGTTTTGCATGGAATCCAGGCGTATGTATGTATGTATATCAATATGAGTGTCAGACGTAAGAGGTTGGAGAAGGTTGCCACCTTTATTAATTTGAATGAATTATTACAATATGGTCACTAATCGGGATATATGTATTGCAACAAAGAGGTTTAAGCAAGTTTTAATTTGAAAATATTTGGAAGGGGGTTAAACAAATTGTAAAATATGCTATGTTTATTTTAGAAAAAATTTAAAAAATTTACGAAAAAGACCTGTTAGTTTCTTTAACAGCTAATTTCAAGAAAAAAATTTAAGTGAAAAATTAATTTAATTTTATATGGAAATCGACAGAAAATAAGAAATCATGCTCAATTTAAATTGCTGGAGAAACCGGGCGTAAGAATTTGAGCTTTCTTATTTTTGCGAAGCTTTAGAGCTTCCAGAGTAATTTTCACAAGAAAAATATTTGAAATTTTACTATGAAAATATTTTTCAAAATTTGCACTAGCTCGCAAACAAAAGTAAATTGGAAAAAATACTTCGTTTTGTATTTTGAATCAGTAACAGAAACTTTACAAACCATAAAAATTATATGTGGACCTGTGTAATTTGCATATGAGTATCTACTATTCTTATGGTTTGTTTATACATTTTTGCGATCGTTTTTCAAGTTTTTTTCTCTTTGGTTTGTTTTAAATAAAACTGTATGAAAATATTTTTTGTCCTTTTATTTAAAAAAAAAATTCTTGTTCGATTTCGATGCTTGAGAGATGTTCCGATTTTCGGCCACAAAAATCTGGTCAACGTAACTATGTTCGTCATTCAATTTTTTACTTCCTTTTTCTTTTTTTGTTTCCATTTGTAGCTTTAATTTCATGCCTATATTAATATTTATAAATACCATGCTAAGTTTAGTTCTAAACGAGTTATCGTTTCTGGGTTAACGGGTAACTGCGTTTTATTAGATGCTGTGTTTTTTCACAGAGAAGCCTGTTATACACATACATACATATGTACATAACAATTTATTGAGTTTATCTACGATTAGACGCTTCGATTTGAAACCAGTTTTACGGCCTATCTTTGGAGCTAAGTAAGAGTGTTTAATTAAGAGAAAACTATGAATATAAAATTAGAATTAGAATGACTTTTCTACTTCCGCGTCTGGGGTCAATGTTTGCGAAGCATATAATCTTGGCAAGGTTACGCTAAACATCTCGAATCAATTTTTATGTTGTGCTTTTATGTGTTTCTTATAATAGATTAAAATATTATTTTGCAGAGTTCGGAAGTAACAGCTGTCTATGGCGGATAACTATGAAATACTTTAATTACATTTTTAAATAAGATTTTATTGATTCCACTAGCTAGTTGTTCTGCTCATTTCATATCCTACTTGGTGATCTCTCCAATTAAACAAAACTAGTTAGTTTTGTGCATTTGTACATACAGTGACGCAAACAAGTGTTCTCATGTTGCTTTTTTTAAATATTCACGATCTTTTTCAAGTTACTTGTAGTAACTCCCAGTGACGCAGCTCAAATTTGTTTTTTCTTTTATTGGTTTAGAAACTAACGGTAAAAGAAAGAAAAAAAGTAAAAGATTGTAATGTGTCACCTAACAGCATTCTTGCGAAGGACGTGTCAAGGTGTGAAAACACATTTCTATATACATATCTGCATGCACGTGTACTAGGTTGGTCCTTAAAATTTTGAAATCTAAATTTTGTGTGAGACACTCGCTTATTTTTTTTGTATGTTCGAAATTGGAGCTTCAAATTCGCTAAGTTATATGTAGCTGCTCAAATCAAAATAGTGTCGAATTTTCGAGATTTTAAACAAAAGTTATTAAGCATTTTCCAACCACTCTTAGCGACGCATAAAAATGTTTCTAATATTTCTCCCCCTCTAAAAGGGGTGTCCAAAATAAAATTTAGTTTTTTACATTTTTAAGGGATACCCTAATGTGTACGTTTAAATGTGTGTGTGTGTGTGTGTGTACATGTGCATAAATTTCGATGTTTGTATAAGTATTTAGGAATGGTGGTACTTCAATCAGTCAGCTGTAATAAAAAGTTGTATTTTTTCTGCAACAGAGTGCAAGGAACTTTGCTACAACTTTTTCGTTCTGTCATTAAACATATATGTATGTACATACACATATTACATACATATATACATAGCAAGTGACTTGCAAAGAACGCA